TACTAGTGACAGTCTCTCAGCAGGCTAGAGTTTATCCAAGCAGTGCAGTTCAGGCTAAAACAAAGTCCCCTTCCTAGAGGGAGGAGACAGAGGCCCTTGGTGATCTGGGCCCAGTGCTCACCAGGCGTCCTCCCCAGGCTGCGGTTACGTGTTAACAGTGGAGTCCAAAGAGCTTTGATTTTTCCTGTGTTTTCTATATTTCCATATTGTCTGTTTTTAATTAAAGGTTTATAAAAATCCATGAAAAGCCCACCGCATGTGAGAAGAGGTGAAGCACGCCTTCTGCATAGGCGCTGCATGTTCTGTATCTTTTTCATGAAGCCTGTGTGACATTCTCGAGACCCTCTCCCTACTCCCACCCTTGTTAACTGTGGCCCCGACAATCGCCACCATGTCCCCGGGCTAGTGTGGATCCGCTGATCACAGCGCACGCCCACCTAACTCCTCACTTCCCATGACGTGGGGGTGCCTCTGGGGACCCCGGTTGTTACTACGTGGCCGTCACACACACAGCAGCTCACCCACCCGGATGTCCATGTGCCTCTGGAGAGCAGCGGCGACCACGACGGTCCTGGCCGCAGACTGACCGCGCCCCTTCCTGCTTCCTCGCCCACTGAGCTCCGCGCGTGTCCAGGCCTGGCCCTGGCATTTCCTGCGGAGACAGGTCCTCTCGTCCGTTCGGCTCCACTAGCCAAAGGCAAACCACAAGCCAAGGGGACGGCATAAAAAGCCCCAGGTCGGCTGCGCTCGGCCACACCAACTCCCACCACCCCGGCTCCTCGCAGCAGCGCTCAGCCATGAGAGCCCTCCTGCTGCTCTCCGTGCTCCTCTTGGTGACGCTCCTGCCCCGAGGTAAGGGGGCGGCCGGCAGCGGGGGCTGTGGTAGAAGCTGCCTGGCGAGGGACACGAGAGCCTGGGATGTGTCACGCGCCAGCATCAGCAGCGCGGCCGGGCCTGGGTGGAGTGAAACGGGGTAACGGCTTTGCCAGCGACCGAGCTGACGGGCGGTCGCCTCTGCCCGGCTCTTCCTCTGCGCGTCGGCTCGTCTGGAAGGAGAGAGACGGGACAGACGCAGCGACTAAATGAGGCCGTGGGGTCTTTTTAAACAGCTGTTTTCCAGCCTTATTGAGACACGGCTCACAAAAACTGTATGTATTTAAGGTGCACGAGGGGTGATTCCATGTATGTATACAGATCTCACGCGTGTGTGCCGTCTAACAAGGGCAGCTCATAGAAATACTGAGTGGAAGAGCTGGGGTGTGGAGCACGTGGGGGCAGGCGGAGGAGAGGGGCCCATGAATGCATCATCCAAAAAAAAAAGCTTCAAGAAGGCCCCACCCTAGGCGGGCATAGGAGTGTCGGTCACGGGTTGATTCTCCACAGACAGGCAGCAAACTCGGCCACGTGAACATCGCCCAGCCTGGACTTCTGATTCGATGCAAAATTCCTGGCAGGCGCTAGTTGGATGCTCACAGGCCTCCTTGAAGCTGCCGCTGGCTGCAGAGGGAAGAGGGTCACGCTAAGGCCTGTTGGCCCACCTGGCTTCTTGAGAATGAGCAGGGGAAGCGCCTGGCAGCAACCTTGGGTGCGCGTCCTTGGTGAGGTCGTTTGATTCCTTAAACCAACACTTAAAAACCTGCTTTAACATAGAATGGTGGGTTTGGGCACTCTTGAGACACCTGGCAAACTCGGGGTACTTCAGTGACAAAAGGCGGAGCTGGGCGGCCCCGCCCTCCCTCAGAGCTCTGGGCTCAGCGGCGCAGACTTCTCCTGCTTGCTCCTCCGCACGGGCGGTGAGGACGCAACATCAGCTCCAGCGTCTGGAGCTGCTGGTTTTCCAAGTGGAATCTCTCTGCAAAGACCCGTGCAGATGGAGGGAGACAACCCCCCCTCCCTCCCTCCCTCGCTCTCTCAGAGATGGACTTGATGGGCCCGAGAAGGCGACCTACTTGAGAAACTGTTAAATGTCTGATAAAAATAGGGTAATTTTCTGGGGCAGAGACAAGTGACTGTGCCAATGGGGTGCCCGCCAGGGATCTGCCAGCGGACGCCGCCCCCGCTCCCCGTCTCCCAGGCCCGGGACCTGAGCTGGTGGTTCTGCTCTGGAGATCACCGCCTCCGTATTTGTGTAGAAACTGCACTCTTTGACTGGAGCCTCACCGATCCTGCTCTGAGGTGAGCCACACACAACGAGCTGCGCTTTCACAAGCGGTTCAGTTCCGAGGATGTCCAGAGCCACCTGAGGTGCCGCCTGCCTGCTGACAAGCAGACCTTGCGATGCAGGATGCAGGAAGCCTGTGCTCACCGAGGACACGCCTCCCCCTTGATTTTCTGCTGCAAAATGTGCTAATTGTCTTCTTACAGGCTACGCAGAGCCTAGCACGCCCCAGCCCCTTAAATACCCGCAGGGGCTCCTCACAGGCACGCGCCACGACTCACGCGCCCTCGGCCCAAGCCGAGGCCCTGCCACCTCAGGAAGAGGTTTCTCCCGACGCAGAGCACGGAGCTGCTCATCCCTCCCTGAGCCACACATCCAGGAGCTCTAGGAACTTTCCCGATCCATTTGGGGGTCTGGGCACTTCCAGGCTGGGGCTCCCACCGGGACGGGGCCTGTGGGCTGAGCGCGGGAGCACAGAGCCCCGGCAGCGTCCCCTCCGACCCCCGTGCGGGCGGCCGTGAGCAGGCGGGGAAGCCAGAGGCTGGGCTGGACCCTGAAGGGGCAGACTCAAGCCCAGGGGAGCGAAGGCCTAAGGGGCAGTGTCCCGAGCTGTCAGTCTCTGAGACGCACGGCAGAGCTTCCAGGGAGACCCCCGGCCCTCCCTCCTGCCCGGGCCTGTCTGGCTTCGGCCACCCCCACGCAGTGTCTCAGGACAGCTCACTCGTGCTGCACCAGAAGTCCCCAGCGAAGGAGTTTTCTAGAGGGTTAGGCCATACCCAGCCCAGACTCAAGCCTGCCCCTGTCGCGCCCTCAGCGTCTGTAGAACGAGTCTGGATTCTCCCTGGCAGCCGGCGGTCAGTGTTTCTGTGCTCAGTGACATGTCTGCCCTCTGGGCCCCTGCAGCCGCGCACAGCGTCCTTCCATGGGCAGGGCCCGTGGGGTGGGGGCAGAAGCGCCCACAGCAGGTCTCATGAGAAAGGGCTAGAGACCTGTCTCGCCTTTGCTAGCTGAGAAGGGCCTCCCGGGGCTCACAGGCAAGTTAAATAAAGATGTGATGACCTGAGGAGACCCCTATCTAGTGGGATCCAGGCAGTTTTAAGTGACCTTCTGGGTGGTGAACCCCTAAGGCTGCAGAATCCCAGCCACCGGTGAGCCCAAAGTGAAACTGTCCTATCCTGCCTGTGTAGGTGACTTTCTAGTGGACGGTCACTTTGAGGACTGTCGTGCGAAGGCAGCAGCTCTACGATAAAGTTGCCGCTCAAATGGCCTCGCCAGGACACTGGGTCAGGCTGAGGGAGGGGTGGTCAGACACTGGCCAGCTTGCGGCTGCCCGCCACCCGCGTCTGGGGCCATGGCAAGGTCGTTGAGAGTGGCCTTTCTCTTCCAGCTGCGAATCTCTGTGACTAAGAGAGATGTTTCCACTGAGCTGAGTGGAACATACTTAAATTTGGACAGAAGAAATACCTTCTTTCTGAGCTGCTTGAGACATGAAGAAATTGAGGGTTTATGTTAGTTCAGGACACACGAACCCCACAATTCTGCAGCCACACAATCTGTTTCCCTGAAACCTTCAAACCTACACCTTGTCGAAACAAATAGGGAAAATGAGATGAAAAAGATAAAATACTAAACATTTTCAATGACGAATTAGAACTTGGATTATGTTTTCCACAAGAATCAATAGTTCTGGTGTTTTTTAATGGAGGCAGCAGCGGCTGACAACAGTGTGTGCCGCTGCGGCAGGGGCTGGCTCCTCATGCGCCTGTCCCGGCCCCTGTGCGGTCCTCTGCGCCCTCCCCACACTGCTTTCCCCCCACCCAGCCCCTCGGGCGGCCTCCTTCTATAGGCAGATGTGGGGGGTGGGGGGTTGGGGGTGGTTGCTGGTTCGTCTTTGCCTGGCCCTTTGTTTTGTTCCATTATGTTGCTCATATGACTGACACCACCCAGAGTTTGTCTCGCTCCTGACTTACTCCGCTTCGCACCCCCCCACCCCACTCCCACCCACATCAGCAGGTGGAGCATTTAGGTCACTAAGGGAACAGAAGCCCCAGGAGGGGACTGCGGGCTCCCAGGCCCTAGCAGCCATGCATGATGCTAATCCAGTTCTGCCATCTCATGTCTCATCAAAATCATCTCTTCAATGTGTTCTATCCGCACAGCCCTCCTCTTGGTGTGCGCCCAGCAGAGGCTTTGCTCTGGGGCTCTGTTTGCTCGTAACCCTCTCTCGTGGCATCTGCCCGTCTCCGCGCGAGCCTCACCACCTGTACCCCAGTTCGAAGGGTACGTGCTTCCAAGACCTCTGCTCAGTCTGTCACCTCCGTCGCCCACACCGTGTCTGATCCATCCAAGTATTTTGTTGTAAACACACTTTCTGAAATTATCAATCTATTTCTGTAAAGTTAGATTTTCTTCTACAAATACAAGTCCTGTGAGAGTAAGAACCGTGCTTACATTTTCACTGCTGTATTATTTGTACAAAGGAAAGTTCCTGGTGAGCAGAAGGCGCTCCGTAAATGTTCATTGGAAATCCACTAAACAGTGAAATAAAGAGGGAGGAAGGATTCATTTTACACATCCCCTCGTTCACGTCAACATTTACCAAAGTACTTTTTGAATCGAAGTTAGCGATGCCAAGAACTTACCAAACAAGGAGGCGGGTTGTCAGCCTGTGGGCCTTGGAGTGTCAGGAACAGTGACAAGGGGGCTGTTAATAGTTGGTGCATCCAGCTTCTTTCTCCAGCTTCTGTGCTCATACCAGAACCTTCTGTCCTCGCGCTCATGAGTGTTAATGGTTCACGTCACGTTTCTGGGCTAAGTATCTCACTGGTTCTTTTTTCTGCAGTAAGAAGTGGATTGGCTTCTGCTGTAAACCACTGCATCAATTTGTCTGGCATCTGCAGAAGAGACACCTGTAAAGTAATAGAGGACATAATCGGTGGCTGCCAAAGACGGTGGAAATGCTGTCGGAGGTGGTGGATTCTCATGCCCATCCCAACACCAGTTATCTACTCAGACTATCAGGAGCCGCTTAAGGGCAGGATGAAGTGAACTAGGAAAAGCTTCCAAAGGAAAATTCTCACATCTAAAAATAGTGTATACAAATTGAAGACTTCCAGCTTTACTACCAATTTCTATTATCTTTTGTCAATACAAATAAACTGATTTCAAATCTAGACAGATGTTACTTCTTTGAGTCTCAACTTCAGATGCAAACAATCTCCTTCAAGCAAGAAAATCCATTTATTTTAACAAACATGGTTTTTAATTTGTTACAGAAAGGCCACAGTTCTCACAAAAACGTTGCAATGGTGAAGCTGTATTATCCAGGGCATAATCAAGGAAACACAGGGCACCAAGGCAAAGGCAGAACAGAGGAAACCCAGGAACTGTCAGGGGGCGGGAGGGCCGCAGACAGGGAGGGAAGAAGACTGGAGGAGCCAGGAAGGGGCCACGCGGTGACTAACACGTGGAGTGAAGTGTATGCAGCTGATGGGACAGGGGTGGGGACGAGAAGGGGGCGAGAGGACGACAAGGCCAGCAGGACTGGGTACGAAACCCTCCACAAGAGAAAGCCCCACCAGGGACCTCGCCTGCCATTCCCTGCAGCGTCCTTGGCTGGCTTTGACCTCAGGCTGATGTGTTCTCCTAAGGGTGTTCGCTCTTCACTTGTCGGGAAGGCCTTAGAGATGATTGGCGCGAATTCTCTAAAAATTTGGTAAAGCTCACCAGTGAAGCCATCTGGTAATGGGGTTTCTTCACTGTGATGTTTCCATGACCAGCTCCGCCCTTGCCAGTAATTGGTCTGTTCAGAATTCCTCTTTTCTGCAAGTTGTATGTTTCTAGACTCTACCCACACCCTCTGGGTTGCCCAGCTTCTTGGCATGTCATGGGCATAGGAGCCTCTTAGGAGCCTTTGCATTTCTATGCGCCCGGCAGGCATGGCCTCTGCTTATGTTTTGTTGATTTGGAAGGCTTTTGATTCCGGTTCAGTTTCCTCACTGGTGATCAACTTACTGAGCTCGCCTATTTCTTCCTAACTCGGTCTTGGTGATTTATATGATTCTAAGAATCTGCCCTTTTCTTCCTGGAGATCTGATCTGCGGGCAGAGAGATGCTCAGAGTTTCTTCGGTCCTTTGTATTTCCATGGTGTTTGTTGTCATTTTGTTAGGGGAAAAGGATGTCCTGAGTGAATTCCATACAGGCTTTGTGGACGCCCCCCCACTCCAGCAAGACACTGGGAACTACAAATCCCATGATCCCCAAAGGGAAGTTGCAAGGACCTGAGGGAGGAGTTAAGCAGCCATTTTTCTCTGTTTGTAAATAAAACCAGCCACGTGAGTGGGGTCTGGGTCACTTGGCTGGTGCTCCTGGCCAGGCAGGTTTGGTCTCGGTGGGTCATTTGGGATTCCAGGTCCGTGGATCGGGTAGGACACATTTAAGACTTTATCTCCCTCTTTTCTCCCTGAGTTGTACATTTCCTCATTCCCCTTTCCTTGTAAATAAACCTTTTGTTAACCTTTGGTGTGTGCCTGCAGTGTAAGTCCCTTTTAAGTGCATGAGTGAGAAACCAAAGTCAGGCAACCCGTTTTAGAGTGGGGTTGTCCTGTAACAATTTCTCCTCTTTCATGTCTGATTTATTTAGTAGAGTCTCCTCACTTTCTTAGTATAGGAAAAGCTTTGTTCATTTTGCTTATGGTTTCAAAGAGTCAGCTTTTGAATTTAGGGGTCTTTTGTCTTGCATTTTGCTCTCTATTTTATTCATGTCCAGTCTAAATTTGTATTATTTCCTTCCTTCTACCGCCTCTTGGCTTTTTTTTTCCTTCTTGTTGTAGTTCCTTTGGGTCAGGGTTAGGATGTTTCTGGAGAACTGTGTTTCCATTTCCTTTCTTTACGAGTCTGTTTTGGTTTCTCCACCAATGCAGTTGTTGTTTGGCAGCATGTAGTTTACTCGCCACATGTTTGTGATTTTTACAGCTTCCCTCTTATAGTTGATTTCTAGCTTATACCATTGTGACTGTAAAATATTCTGTGTGATTTCAGTGTAAAACAGATGCTTTGAGACTTGTCTTGTGTCCCCACGTGTGACCTGTCCTTAAGGAGTGTGCACTCTGCTGACTTAGGTCTGGAGGTCCCGCAGCTCTGGTTATTTTCAATAAGTTTGTTTTTTTTTTAACTTTAAACTTGAGTTTAAGAAAATTCTCATTATTACCACATTACAGAACCTCACTTTGGCTGCATATTTCCCGTCACCGTGACTTCTACCTGACCTGCTTGTGTTTCCATGATGTCAGTTAGTGACCTTGTACCTGCACTCAAAGAAGTCCCTTAAATATTTCTTGTAAAGCGTGCCTGATGATGATTATTTATTTCAGCTTTTATTTGTTTGGGAAAGTCTTTTTCTCTCTTATAGCTTATTTTTCCTAAGGCTGAGGATAAAGTTATCTTTCTCCAGAGAGAACTTGTTTTGTTTTTTTTTTTTTTAAACGGGTGGACCACTTAAGTGTAATTATCTTAAAAACTTTGTTCTCGTATCACATCAGACTAAAGATCTCACCTTCACAGATCCCCGAAACATGTTTGTTTGATTGTAACTTCTTAACGTGCAATAATGGACATATATACACATAGAGCATAAAACACACCCAAAAATAGAAACTGAAAAGGATACCATAAAGCTGAAAAAAAAGTATTTTTCTCTCATGCTATTTTCTACTATAAGTAAGTTGGATCTGATGGCAAAACACAGACTTCGGGATGATACGGGTCTAATCCTTATGTCACAGAGTCATCGTAATTTTGAAACTTTCTTTCTGACGTCTTATCAGAGAGGCTTAGACGGTCACTATTTATTTTTGTGCCACCATCCTTGATACCCCTTTGCACTGTTCTCCTACCCCCTTCCCTCTTAACCTAGAAATTTCACCTCCTTTATCAGTCTCCACTAGTTTTTATAAGTATTTTGTTTTATCGAATTATCCACTATTGGTCATTCTGACTTGCTTTACTACATACCATTCCCTGAACTCTCCATCCTGCTATAAATGGCACCGTTTAATCTCACCTTATGGCTGAAGTATCCGGCGCGTGGCTACGGTCCTCTACCCCCCGAGTCCTCGCTTGCTTCCCTGTCCTGGGTGCTGCAGGTAATACTGCAGTAGGCACTGTAGAGTATATGATCTAGGGGGTGGTAGGTGGGTTCAAGCTCTTTGAATTAAAGACTTAAGTGTAAGATGTGATATCATAAAACAAAACACAAGGGAAAAGCTCCCTTTTTAGTAAAGGTGCTTGTTTTGGTAAAGATTTTTTTTGATACGCCTCCATAAGCACAAACAGCAAAAGCAAAAATCGATCAGTGGGACTACATCACACTAAGAAGCTAAAAGCTCCTGCATAGCCAAAGAAAAAAAACAACGAAAATGCAACCTACAGAAAGGGAAAAAATATTTGCAAGCCACACCAGATGAAGGGTTAGAATATATAAGTAGGTGTGTACATATAGCTCATCCAACTCAATAACTTAAAATACAAATAATTTAAGTAAAATACTGAGCAGACAACTGAACAGACATTTTCCCAGAGAACACACACATGTGGTGGCCCACAGGCACACAAGACGTCGCCCCACCCCACGGATGATCAGGAAAGGCAAAAGGCACATCACAACCACACCTGTTAGAACGATCGTCTCAAGAAGAGAGAAAAGTGTCGTGAGGTCTGAAGCAAAAGGAGTCTTTGTGCACTGTTGGTGGGGTGTAGACGGGCTCAGTCACTATGGAAAACACTGGAGGCATCCCCCCAAAAAAAATGAAAAATTGAAGTACCATGTGACCGAGTAATCCTGTTCTGAGGATGAACCCAAAGGCAACGGATGCAGGAGTTTGAAGAGACCTGCGCTATCCCGCGTCCGCTGTGCCGCCACTGCGCGGGTTGGCAGGGGTGAGGGCTGAGGACAGCTGCACTGGGATGGCACTCAGGGGTGGGAGGAGAGGGGCTAGGGTTAGGGCTACAGGTGCGGAAGCTGAGGGCATATTGCTGAGCAATAATACGCCCAATAAGTCAGACAAGGACAAATGCTCCATCATGTCACTTACACGTGGAATCTAGAAACGCCAGCTGGTGAGCACAGGGTAGAATGGCGGCTCCCAGAGGCTGGAGGTGGGGAGGTGGGGGAGGTGTTATCTAGCAGCACAAACACAGCTAGTACATCTGGAATCTAATGTACCACATGCTGGCCACGCAGGCCCCCTCCTATCTGAAAGCAGGGGCCCCAGGAAGCCGTCCCTGTGCTTCAGGTGGAGCCAAATGAAACAATTGCCGTTAATTTACATGGAAAAATCATGAGCATGCCCTGACCCGCAGATCACCTCCCCACAGTAACACCCCGGATGACACAGGCCTGGACCAACACATGCAGCAGGAGCAGGCTCACGCGTCAGCTCCAAGGAGCTCAGGCTGCTCGCCGCCCTCAACTGCCGCCAAACCACGCTGACCCTGCGTTGCTCCCCCTTGGTCATAGAAACAACAGTCCTCCCCGGGTCCTTTCGGCTGGTGAACACATGCACTGATGCAGGGAAAAGTCAGTGGCAGAACTACAGATTATCTTAAAAACGATACAGCCAAGCATAGTGTGTGTAGACTTGGAGGTTGCTAAGAATCTAGGTCTCAGTTACATCACAGAGAACGGTGATCACGTGACCTCGTGGAGGTGTCCCCCCACCGCAGCAGGCAGGTGTCAGGGGGACGTGTCGGTGCCTCTGTACACAGTGTCATGTGTCGGTGGCGGTTTGATTTAAAAAAAAAAATAAACACATGGGTCTCCCCGGTGGCACAGTGGTTGAGCGCTAGGTTGCGAAGCTGCCCACAGCCTCGGCAATACCAGTTTGATCCCCGGCTGCTCCCCAGCCACCGGGTGAGGGTCCCACATGGCGCGCAGACCTCTCCTGCCGCCCGCTGCTCCCCTCAGCAGTGTACTTCGGTCCTTCTGCCTGCTCTGCTCCCCGCTCTGGCTCTGGTGAATTCCCTCACTCTCCCATGCTTCTGACTGTACCCAGTGCTTGTATAAATAAATAAATAAATAAATCTTTAAAAAAAAAATAAAAATAAAAATATAAACACATCGGCAAACATAAAAATGACCAAAGGAAGTAAAAATAAAAATATATCAAAATTTTCCCCATAAAAGGAGCTTCAAATGTTATAAACATTTGAAAGTTTCTAAGTGAAAAAAATTTTTCAAGACTTATTTTTATTTATTTATGCATACAAGAGCTGGGGTACAGGCCAGCGGTGCAGGGAGTGAGAGGATTCACCAGAGACAGAGTGGGGAGCAGAACAGGTGGATTGACTGAAATATACGCAGGGGAGCAGCGGGGAGACAGGAGAGGTCTGCTGCACCATGTGGGTAGCTCCCTGGCCCGGGATCGAACTCAGGCTGCAGTGGCTGCTGATAACTTCGTAGCGCTGAGACTTAACCCCTGTGCCGCCAGGAAGGGCTTATAAGTGAAAAATTTAATGAATTTAGACAAATGTCATGAAGCCATTGATCTGTAGGTAAATTAGATGAGTTGATTTTAGGTCAATAGCTTCTTGGCCAAAAGTGTGTCCTCAGGCTTCCAAGACTACGTAAGGTGAGAGGCTCAGGAACCTCTTTATGCCAGAGGCATCTGGCCTGGACAACAGGGGGGTGTTGGGGAGCGACTGTGCCTTCCTGTTCTCCTCACCCCACCACCCTCTGTGGTACAGTTGTAAAGGGGAACAATGACAGAATGCTGGTTCTCAATGTGTCCTATGCATTCTCCAGTAGAACCTTCCAGATGCTGTAAAGAACATCATATGTGATGCTAGTCTCTCATTCAGTAAGGAGAAAACACAGCTCATGTAACAGTCCTTAGGCAGCTCACGTATCCCTGTCGTGGGGACAAGTGTATGATAGGAAAGTTCCCCCGCAAGTGGGAGACTTTGGTGCTGAGGATTCTGTACTCACATGGCCTTAGCTCCCGGCCCCCTCCCAAAGTGACTGGCTAGAGGTTCTGACCTCCGGGGAATGTAAGAACCCCTAGAAAAAGTAAAGGATTAGCCATCTGGTTTCCTATAATTAGGTTAATTTGTCACCAAATTTAGAGACTCCAGGGTTTGGAATTCTTCCAACGGAAGCTGTTTTATTTTCTTACTTGTTAAGCTTCACTGACCAAAGGGAACCTCAGTCCCCCAGAAGTAAATAAAAGGCCTGTGTCCACGGTCCCTGTCACTCGTCTTGCTCCTGGATATCGAACCATGAGGCTCCATCCCCTCCTTTCTGTTCTCCTTTTTGTGACTATCATACCAAAAGGTAAGAGGTGGCTAATCGCCAAGACAGGGCTCTCAGAGGCTTCGGGGATACTCGGCGAGACTGTGGCCATCTCAGACCCTCATGCACCACCTTTGGGATTCAGAGTCCAGCCTGACCACCTCCCTTACAACTGATGAGCTCTCAACTACCAAGCAGGACAAGGATTTCCATGAAAGGAAATGAGAACCAAGAGCATCATGAGTAGAAAACGGGGCTCGAGTCAAGGCAGAGAGAGAAGCTCTGACGTGAGGCTTAAGGCTCAGCAGATGACCGAGTAGGTGTTACCAGGGCCCAAAATGCGAGTGTGAGCAGCAGCAACTGGTTTGGACGCGTTAGTGTCTGAAAGTGAAGCCAAGTGTGTTGGTGAGGAATTTCTGTGAAGGGCAGAAGTCAGGCAAATGAGAGAGTGCAACAAAAAAAGAGTTGTATCAAGTCTGAAAAAGCAGTAGAAATTTGGGAGCAGGGGAAGTTGGAGAAAGAATGAACAGTGGATTGGCGCCCCAGTGGCGAACAGGGCAAGCTCGGAGGAAGCGTCTGAAGAATGTGATAGCATCCTCAGGGCCCGTAGTTCAGAAGTCTGGGCATTAAAATGTAGCTCAAAGGGGAAAGACGGGCCTCCCCGGTGGCGCAGCGGTTGAGCGCTGGGTTGCGAAGCTGCCCGCAGCTGCTGCAGCGCTTGTTCGATCCCCGGCTGCGCCCCAGCCACCGGAGGAGGGTCCCGCATGGCACGCAGACCTCTCCTGCCTCCTGCTGCTCCCCTCAGCAGTGTGCTTCGGTCCTTCTGCCTGCTCTGCTCCCCGCTCTGGCTCTGGTGGATTCTCTCACCCTCCCGCGCTCCGACTGTGCCCAGTGCTTGTATAAATAAAAATAAATAAATCTTTAAAAAAAAAAAGGGGTGGGGGAGGCAAGGGGCCAGTCCAGGCCGGTCCTCCAGACCCACGTCAGGACGGGTGGGGTGGTTTTCTCCACCGCTAAAGGCAGAATGTCCACACCCCTCTAAAGGGTCAGTCTCCGTGACCACAGACTAAGCCCGGAGAGCGCCCCCCTCCCTGCTTGGCGGGTCTCTGAGGCCCTGGAACCAAGAAGATACTCACTCTGGTGATCCTCGCCTCACCCCTGGCAGGTCTCGGGATCCACCTGCCATAGTCATCTCCCCCAGAGGGAGTTTAAATATTTCTCATTTGGTCTCATTTCTCTCGGACGGAAACACAGCTACGGTGACACACACTGTGGCGACACTGGTGTAGGTTACGTGACGTCAGTGACTTGGGATTAGGAGCAAGTTAAGAGTCAGTCTTCGGTTTACTTACAGGCAAGGACTGTATTTGACTGAGGTCACAAAGGCCTGGTCCGAACGTCTCCCCGGACATTACTCCGTGGGTGATAAAGCTCTCGGGGGAAGAGCTGGCGCGAGGCCTGCAGCTGCGGGGCCTGAGCCCCCTGGAGACCGGCAGCACCCCTCACGGCTGCCCCGAGAAGCCAGACCCTCTTCTGGAACTGGCCAGCAAGGGTGGTGGCCACCGGCGCCTCCCCAGGGACCCTTGGGGTACCCGGCTGTGCAGAGTGTGCCCGCCCGGCCTCCTGGCGGGGGACCGTGCAGAGGCCCCGAAAGCGCCGCTGCAGATGGTGCTGGGCTATGCAGCGCTGGTTCATTTTCTGCAGGATGGAGACACATGGCAAAAGCATGGTTTAAATTCAAAAAGAAAAAAAGATCCAGAACCTAAAGGCGGTCAGACTGTCAGCATGCAGGAGAGGCGGGAAGAAGCCAGGGTGGGTTAGAGCCGAAGAGGCCGCACGCAGCAGGACAGCACAGCCAGACGCCAGGGGAGGGTGACGGAGACTGAGCAAGATGCAGGCGGCCGGGGACGAGCTCCGGTGCCAGGCGCCGGCGCGCCCGTGGAGGGGCGTGTGGAGGGGCTAGCCCGGCAGGAGGCAAGCGGGAGGGAAGGGCCCCGCAGCGTGCACTCAGCCGTGTGCCCTCAGCAGACAAATGAGTCAAAATAGATTTAAGGAAAAATGCTTATAAACCTCGAGGCGCACTCTGTGGAGCTCGCGGGAAGAGCACTAGCACGCTGGGAGCGTTGCTCACAGTCTCAGGTGGAAATGAGGTCAGGCGGAGCTGAAGGGGCGCTGAAGGGGTGCTGGGCGTTCTCTCAGGGGACGTGGGGTGAGCACAGGTGCCTCGTCACCAGTCAGGGTGAGTGGGAGGAGCACGAGGCGGGAGGACGGAGACCTCCTGGGAACTATTTTGCAGTGGAGCTGCACTGACCAGCCCTGGGCCTACCACCCCATCGCGTGACGCCAGCAAAGAGCCCCACACATTTCAAAATGTGCCGCCCCAGCTGAGGACAACTCTAAAGGCTTCTCGCGGCCAGCCTGACCTCCTCCCCAAGATGTGTACAGCCCCACTCGGGCCCCTCTCCCCAAGAGGCACTGCTCTCTCCTAAGTGTCTGACCCCTCCTACGGGGGTTCTCTCCTGTCCAGGGCCATCTCTTGGGATTTGTGGCTGATGCGCATTTCCAGCGAGCGCACGTGAATTGATGGTGTCCTCAACTCTCTCCCCTGCAGCAGGGGCTGGCGTGATCCCGGGGCTGAAACAGTGTGTTCTCCTGAAAGGGGTGTGCAAAGACGGGGGCTGCACCTCCACGGATGACACCATCGGGGTCTGCAACCAAGACAAAAAGTGCTGTCGAAAGTGGTGGATACTTTCTCCCTACCCAACGCCAGTCCCCAAAATCAAGTCTCCCTAAACGGGAGCAAACTGTAACCTGTTGAAGTCCAGAAACGTGGATGTGTTTTGCAGACCTCTGTTTTCCTCAAGTCCTTTGTCTCCTCTGCTGGAAATAAATGTCTTAAAGCCACATGTTCTTATTCCTAGAAAATTTCTTTATCGCACATGCAAGCCTCTTGAGAACTACAACACCCGTGAACTAAACAATAGAGGAACCTCGTTCCCTAAAGATATTTCATCAAAATACGACTTCCCCCCCAAAAGATGAAAATTTTATGTAGAACTCAAATTATTAAAAACGGAGCTACCAGATGACCCAGCAATCCCATGCCTAGGAATCTCCCCAAAGAGCACAAAAACTAATTCTAAAGGAAAACTGCGCCCTGTGGTTACTGCAGCCAAGACATGGCAGCGGCCCACGGGTCCACACTGAGCCACCCTGTGCTGGCGCCGTGTCTGCCTGAGGCTCTTTCAAAACACGCGTGGGGCCTTTATCTGGCTTATTCTAGCTCCTGAATTAGTCTCATAAAATAGACACAATTTATTCCTCAAAGGCTGTGTATAAAATACAGCCTACCCTGCCGTCCTCTCGGCGTGAGGGAGTAGGACTTTATCAACTTACAATTTTAACTGGCCCATGTGGTTTCCTTTCATTTCCCTAGAAAAGGTCCCATTTCGCTCGGACAGTCACTCTGGGGCATTCGCAGGACTCTGTTATAATTTTTAGACTTTTCTCTGCCTGTGATTTTAATGGAAAAGAAAAAAAAACAAGTAATGACTTTTAAATGATAGAATAATGCACTCCATTTATTATTAATAAGCTTATGGGTTTTCCAACTTTAAAATGAAAATATATTATGAGTCAGAAGGGAAAAATAAACTATGCAGATAGCATGCAGGTAGAGTTGTCCATATGTGTGTATGTTGAATTATAAACTATATTTGTGTGTTTGGTGCCTTTCTTGTGAGCTGCAGTCAACAGAACCCAGTGCTTCCTACGCCCAGTTGGTTCTCTCATGGGAAACAAACCCCTTTGTCCCTCTGCCATGACAGTTTGCACTGTGCTCGCTCTCTGACTTTGCTCTGTGTTCTTTTGGGAAAAGGCATTTGTCAAAGCACCTTCTCTTTCTTCACCCCCCTGGTGACGAGCTACCTGTGCACTCACACCTGGTGCCCATGATCCACCCCCAGCCCTCCCCTGACCTTCCCTTTCAAGCCCCTGCCCCCCACCCCCACCCGATGACACACAGTGTCCTTGGGCAGCTTTCCAAGCCCACCTCCTGGTTCCAAATCTGTCTCGATGAGAAACAAATGTTTATAGAAAAGATCAGAGCATCACTTGGTGCTCCGCTGGGGAGCTCCGTGCCTGCACCCCTGAATCTGATTGCTCTGCAGCATAAACCATGCCTCCAGGGTTCGCCCCATGAGCAGAAGGCAGGAACTCCAGGAGATTCTGGATCTGTGGTTAGAGCTGCTATGAAGAGCCGGGCCAGTCAGAAGAGCCGGGGGGAGCTGACCATGACCAGCCATGCCCCCACACCCTCTGTCCCGGTGATGACAGAGGAGAAAAGCCCCCCAGGCTAGGGGGTCAGCCTGGGCACTGGCCTTCACAGGCTGAGGCTGTGTGAGGTTGGCCCCTTCCAGAATGTCCACCATGCCCCTGCCCCGGTTCCCCTCCAAAGGTCACGCAGAGCCCCACAGCCAGGGAGGCCCTGCTTGCCGCGGTCCAAGCTCCGCTCACCGGCGTGCAGGGTGGAAGGGCCCCAGGGAGCCGCGGCGGAAACGGCTGCCACGAGCCTCCGGCGCTGCCAGGGACTGTCCTCACCTGGTTCACCCGCGTCAAGGTGCACGGAGGAGCATGAAGGCCAAGCTGGCTGCGGCCCACCAGGGCATTTCTCCGTCCCTGCGAGCAGAGGCTGCCACTCAGCCGGCCCTCACGTCCGTCCCCTAAGTTTCTGCCAGGTCGTCTGCGGTGCATTTGCTCGGGCACTGGAGGGGCTCGGTCCTGTTGGCGCTTCGCAGGGGTCCCTCAGGAAGCTGGCCGGAAACCACTGGGAGCCCCACCCAAAGATCCCCCACCTGGAGTGTGGCACCTCCAAACCCAGCACTGGCCTTCACCTCCCCTGCCCATTGAGTGGCTCCCCAGCCTGCTGCAAGAGGAAGCCCCGGCAAGCAAGGAGCCCCGACATCAGGCCCGGCCTCTGGGGAGACAACCCCTGGAGCTGCAGAGCCACCTTCTGGGCTCCAGCGGCAGCAGCACGATAAGCTGGGCCACCCCGAGAACACAGCAACGGTCACAAAGGGAGCAAGAAGTGAGGAGCAGAGGTACCCACACGGAGGCGGGACAGTCACAGGCAGACTCAGGAGCAAAAAGTCTGTCTCCCCCAGAAGATAAGAAAAGATTTGAAAAGGTCCCTGTTCCTTGAGATGCAAAAACAGCAAGGAAAACTCCACACAACGCGAAGACTCAGGAAGCACCAGCTCCAAAAAATCATCATCTCCCAGTAACAAACAGGCGGTTGCTTTGATGTATCTGAACTACTGCAGACCGGAGTCACGCAGTGCCCTGCTCTCCCTCGTCAAGGCCCGCGGCTGCTTCCCCCCTGGGGTGCAGGTCGGGCGCCTGGTGCCGTGGGGCACGCGAGGCCTGGACCAGCTGCCCCCTGAAGTCCACTCGGGCAAGAGACGCCGGTGGTGGCGCTGCTGCCCCCGCATCTTCACACCCAGAGAACGAAGCTCAGGGGCTTAGAGGCCCCGAAGGTTGGAAGAAGAGGCGATGTCTGGGTTCGTGGGGTGCAGGGGCCCCCGCACCTCAGCGCTAAGGGTACGATGAACACAGGTTCTCTGGACCCAGCGTTCCTGCACTTCACCGTCCTCCCTCCACGACCACAGGTGGGTCCGCCCGCAGCCACGCCTCCGCCCCCACCTCTGTTCTTGGCAGGTTTTGCAGCCGCTCACCCAGTTCGTACCTAGAAAAGGGGTAACGCTCCCACCCCCACCCTTGGGTGGCTTAGGGGAGGGGGATCAGGCCAAGTTCTTGGCCACAGGTGGCCCCAGCGGGATCCCCGCTTCTAAGCACAGCGTGAGGGCCCGGAGTAGGACATGCTGGGAGTTTTGGGGGGACTTTGTGGTTATTCTCTGTGGCCTTAGACCGGGTTTGTCAGATCTCGGCGGCCTTGGCCACAGGGCGTGCTTTCTACTTAGGAGGCCTGCGTCCTCGCAGCTGCAGCCTGGTGGGGGCGTCGGTCGTGCGGGTGGAACAGGAAAGGGGGTGACACACATCGGGGCTGCAGGGGACAGCTTGGCGGGGGTCCCAGTTACCCGAACGTGGGGCTTCACTAGCGCAGTTGCAATGCCGGCAAGCAGAGGATGCTGGTATTTGCAGCTCATGTCATTTGTACTTCAAAGTTTTTCTTCATAATGAGTTCTTTTTAATGAACTTGACAGAATATTGTGCAGTTTTTAAAAATTCCTTTGATGCAGGAGGTGGGGCTGCAGAGGCACGACGATGCAAAACAAAATATTAAACAAAAACCGAGCACAAAGAAAATGTCCTGCACACACAGGTTACTCTCAGGGGCTCCAGTGTCCCTTCTCTTTGCAGCATCTTTTTTTTTAAGATTTATTTATTTATGCATACAAGAGCTGGGGTACAGGCCAGAAATGAGGGGGCTTAGAGGATTCACCAGAGACAGAGCAGGGAGCAGAAGAGGCAGACAGACTGAAAACACTGCTGAGGGGAGCAGCGGGTGAGACAGGAGAGGTCTGCTGCGCCATGTGGGTAGCTCCCTGGCCGGCCCGGGATCAAACTTATGTTGCAGAGGCTGCAGATTGCTTCACAGTGCGGTGCTTAACCCCTTGCGCCACCAGCGAGGCCCACTTTGCATCATCTTTAATACTTTAGACTTTTTTTTTTAATTAGCATTTAAGTTTTCTTACAAAAACCAAACAAGCTAAGTGTTTAGAAAGAACAAGGGTGTCCCCCTTGGTCTCCATTAGCGCTGTGAGGCTGGGTGGGGCCAGGGCCTTTGTCAGCAGGAGGAACTGTGCAGCAGGGAAGGACCGGGGTGTTCGAGCGTGGCCAGCTGGGCCTGGGGAATCAGCACAGAGCGTCCTGGGTGGGCCCCAGGCCTGAGGCCACAGGTATGTGCTCAGCCTCCCCTGGGTGCCGCGCCCGGTCCGAGCGGCCAGCAGCCCTCAGACAGCAGCTTGGCCATGAAGCCCCTCCTGGCATTGGTCTTTCTCCTCCTCTGGACCCCAGTGCAGCCAGGTGAGATGGGAACCTTCTGGGCCGGGGGCGAGGTTCTGGTCCAGAGAGCCGCCTCGCTAAGCAGGTCCACAGAGTCCCGCCAGCACGGATACCTCCACTTTCCATGTGGAAAAAACTGTCACTGGCGTGGACATGGGCACGGCCTGGGCGGGAGCTCGGCTCTCCAGCTTGCAAGTCGTGCAGACTTAGAAGTCCAAGCTTCTCTTAGTTTCTGCATTTACAAAATGAAAACAAACAGCTCTCCTCAGAGTCCCGTGAGGATGAAGTGGGATAACTGTAGTGACGCCTCACCCCCGTGAGGGCCGGGGCCGGCAGGCAGCATCCTTACATTTCCCAGGTCACACCTCATTCATCCTGGCTATTTTCACACCTCACACCCCCGCCTGCCTCTCCACTGCCACTTGGCCTCTATTTCAAAAACACTTTGTGGCATAATAGTCAAAGCCAGCAAACAGCACCGCGTGTGAAACTGCCTGGCATTGCTTGCAGGTGAACTTTATTTGTAGATCCCTTAGGTACCTCAGGAGACAGATTTGGAGCTGCTTGTTTGAAAAGGTTTAATGACCTTTAGGTGATTCAAGAAATACCTGATCGATTGAGGTATCAAGAGGGGGGTCTGAGGGACGCTGGGGGGCCTCGTCAGCTTCCCCGCATCTGTCACTGCAAGAAATCTCACCTGGAATATTCTCCCCGCTCAGCGCCTCTGAGTGAGTTTAAATCTATGTGTCGTGAGGTTCCCTTTACTTTCTCATCCTCCTCAAGTATTCTCCAGAGATGAGCTAGATTTTCAAGTCCTGTGACTCAACGGCCAGATTTAAGTCTCCGTAGGGTACAGACTCTTGAAGTCACTGGATGGCACCAGTTCCGCCGTGCTTTATGGCCTTGAATGTGTAGCCACTGGGCAGGAAATGACCACACAGTCTACAGTCGTCCCTTTAGCAGTTTATATGTCCTCATGGCTCGTCACGTCCATAGGAATTGCCTATCTCGTTATATGGACACGAGGGAGTCCATCTTGCCGTGTAAGGAAGCTTGACCCCTCTCTGCCCTATTGGGCATTGTCCCCCTGAGGGGTAGGAATGGACACAGTGCAGGTTTTCTAGGACCTCATGCAGACCGGGTAAAGGAGGAGTCAGAGTCCTCGGTGGCTTTTGCAGGTTTTTTCTTGGGATTTACCCAGTACACGGCAGGCAGGGGCGCTGGGGAGCCGGGGGGCTGGCAGGCCTCCCAGCCCCCGGCAAGGCTTTACTCCTTCTGGGCTCTCCGGCCTTCTCTGCTTCTCTCTCGGCTTCTGCTGCTTCTTTCTCGGCTTCTCTTTCGGCTTCTGTTCGTTCTTGGCTTCTGCTGGCGTCCCCGTGACGCCGCCCTTAAAAAGCCCAGTTGAATCCCACCTACCTATGCCCACACCCTGCTCCAGGTGCCGCCATCAGGCACGCATTCAGGACCGCAGGGTTCCGTCATCTATCCTGATGGCGGGAGGGCAGAAAAGCCTGACACTTTTTCCTTACCCTACACCCCCCCTCAGACTGGGTAGGAGTTGGCTCAGAGTCTCTACAGCTGGCCAGATGTTGACCTCTTCCCTTTGACTACCCCTTACACGTGAATGTTAAGAAACATCCAGATTGTAATCATCTGCAGAGCAGCATGTGGGTAAAAGCGGACGCCTGGCCTCAGGGCCTCGCCTCAGGTCACCTCGGGCCTCAGGACATCCCAGACCTTCAGATTCACCTCCATCCCCCCCCCCCCACCAAACTCACAGCCCTCCCATGACGCTCCTCATAGTGCTCATCCCGTCTTTGCTCAGGAATTTTGTGTTTCTTCTCTTTTTGTTCAGACTGAAATTTCCTTGAGATTGCCCCAACCGTACAGGGTTCACAGAATTTCGGAGGGTTTTTTTTTTTTGGTTTTTTTTGTTTTGTTTTGGAGGACCCTCGCCGGCGGCCAGGGAATGAACCGGCGCTGCAGAGGCTGCAGGCAACCTCTCAGCACAGCACTCAACCGCTGCGCCACCAGGGGAGGCCCGAATTTCATTTTTTAAAGAAAAGAAACAAAGAGAAAAAATAAGTAATCGTAACAGGAATTTTCAACAGCTTGAAATGCATTGGAAGTGGGGAGAGCCCTGGGTGTGGGGGAGCTGGTGCCTCATTCCACTTCGCGCTGGGTGAGCACGCTCTGGGGCGCGTCTTAGAAGCGCGAGTCTCTCATAAATGCTCGAATGCTCTAACACGTAGAGAATGAGACTCCGTCAAGATGGCAATTATATGTCTGCGAACAAGTTTGATGTTCACTTCTACCTGACAATTTTTTGGATGAAAAAAAATTAATTAAATTTCATGCTGACACTGCAAAAAAATAAATCAAATAGAATGTTTAAAAAAATGGTTTGTGAATGAATAAGTGAGCGTCAGCTTGCACAGCTGAATTGAATATATTGACTGCCCAGTCTGCCCCAACGCTGACGTCACTAATTACACTAATTCTCTCAGGCTGCGAAACCAGCAGGGCGGATGTTGTGACTCAGTGAGGTTTGCTTCCCAGTCTGGAGCCGGGAACCCCGAGGCCGTGGGGGCGCTCTCTCCCGCCTGGGACTCCGTCTTCTCTCTGTGACCCCCTCCAAGAAGCTGCTAAATCAATTAGACGGAGCCACTCCCTCTCCTTCATTTGACCTTGATTATGTCCCGAGCGCCACCTCCCCCAGCATAGTCCCCTCGCCATGGTAGGGCGCCGGCGTGGGAACGGGGCACAGTCACAGTTCCATGTGGAACACGAGGTCATTTTGTTTCAGTTGCAGAATCCACCGTTGCGGCCAACTCTCCCGCCACCCGCTGTGATCCACGGTCCCCCCGAGGCCGCGGAGCCCAGTGCGTGACCTCCCGCCCCTTCTCTCCGCAGGCCTGCTCACGTCCTCGGACTTACACAAGCCCTGCCATGGGAACGGCCTCTGCAGGCTCGAGTGCTACAAGAGCGAAATGCTCGTCGCGGCCTGCAAGCTGCAGCTGGAGTGCTGCATCAAGGGGAACCCCAAGCCCTGACCCCGGAACCCCAGGCCCTGACCCCGCGCCGGGCAATGCACTGGAGACTGCCACCCCCGCCACACACACGCACGGCACCCAGCACCGCGCTCTAGCACAGCCCGGGATCTCACGCTGCGGCTGACCTGCCGGCCGGTGGCTGCGGGGAGCAGCTTCTCCATAAGCCACGAGCCTTATGACCTTGGACTGCGAGGCTGAGCGGCAGCCTCCCCAGAAGCAGCCAAGCTGCCCGGGAAAGCCGCGGGGAGCACATCCTCACACCTCGGGGTGGCCTCCTGCCCGCCGCAGTGCCCGCCCCGCTCTTCACTCACAGCGAGACTGTCCCGATAGTTCAGAGCCGCCCTTGCCCGCCGTGGGCCCTGCTCCCCTCTGGCACCCTTTCTCTGGCCATCCCATCTGCAGGGGAGACGTGCCGGGCCCAGTGACCCGCACCCCTGCCTGGACCGCGCGGCTCCTTGGCCGTGGACTAGCAGCGGCCGCGCGGTCCCCCCCACCTCCCGCACCTCCCCTGCACTAGCCCGGCGTGGATCCTCCCTCCACCCTCTGGGTTCTGCTCCTAGCACAGGACCAGCTGGAGTGGTCGCCCCTCTCCCCGCCACTGCGCCTCCTGGGGGCCCTAGTGGTGTCCGGGCTGAGCGTGCTGTGCTGTGAGCAGGGGCAATAAACTGCCTGCGCCACTGGCTCCTCGCTTTCTTGACCAGCGGCCTCGGAGGGCCTGGCGGGCAGACCCGCCCCCTGGGGGGTCCCTGCAGGCTGCAGCACGGCCGCCGCCCAGTGGGACGGGCTGTGAGCGCACCCGGGCTGCCCCGGCTGGGGCGGCAGAGCGGGGTCTGCTGGGGCAGCTGTTTCCCGCCTCTGTGTGGGGCGAGGGTCTCGGGACTCGGGACTCGGGCTGCCTGGGTCAAGGCAAAGCTCGGTGAGCCCAGGGCTGGGTCTCCAGCAGGGATGCGAGGAGCCCGCTGCTCCTCAGAGGCCCAGGACGCTGGTGTCACAGGCGGCAGTTGTTAGAGAAACCAGGTGGAGCCATCTCCCCTGCGCCTCAACAGCAGACACCCGCAGGGAGGGAAGGGGCCGCTGCCCTTGGCCTCGCAGGTAGGGGAGGGAGCTCTGGTAGGGCCCCGGCGCCCCACTGAGCAGGTTGCTGCGGGAGGGTGCATGGTGCCTATAGTGTCCCCTGGTCCTTTTCTTAGAAGAATCGAGAGTCTCGCCCTGAGGGCTGGCGCACGGGATGGACGTCGCCAGTGCCCCGGGTCTGTCTAGCTCGAGCAAGTCTCCCTCCCTCTGCCATCTGGGGGTGCACGGCTTTCTCACCACTTAGTTCCCACAAACCCACTGAGAGAAGAGAGGGGCTGACCACTGTGAGCTTGAGTGATCCTCTTGCGTGTGATGATGAGATGTACTAGGATTTAAGAACGGAAACATTTACTGCCTGGTCACACTAGCCAGGGTGAGATTTCCCTGGCTGTGCCTCGCAAACCACAACACACTCCATTTTTCCACTTAGATCTTTTCAATACGGATTTTCCTTCATTTCCAACATCAAATAATGCATTTATTTGCGTTATTCTTCTCAGAGATGCCCAGGTAGAAAAAAATGAGACAACCCAGTAAGTAGCTGCACACCCCAAAGAGCGCGAGTAAGCGAAGATCACATCAAGTGGTGGAAACAGGAGTCACGGGAGAGACTAGAGGACGCTGGCACAAGGGTGTCCCGGCAGGGAAATTCCACCTCTGGAGGCTCAAAAGCAGGTGCGAGGGCTCGTGATCATAGGAGTCAGGCTTGGGGGAGCCGGGACTGGCCCGAGGGCTCCGTCTGAGCGCAGGCCACGGCAGGGGCCCCGTTCGTGACCTTCATGACGGGGCTCACTCAGGAGCGTGCAGTCTTCAGATTCATGTTCCACCTCAAAAACATTTTTTTTTTAAATGTTAACAAGGACTGAATTAGCAGAAGGAAACGCCTAAAGAGCAGGGATTTAACGAGATTGTTTCCATGGGAGAGACCCTGAACGCATCTAAAGGAAGAGAAACAGCAGCCCTGGCAACGCTGGGGGCTGGAAACAAGGCGCTCGTGGCAGGACCTGGGTCCACGAGCACAGCATGGAGCCCCGATACTCACAGCTACAGCCCCACCACCGTGGGTATATGGATCTTCTGAATGCAGCACTTCCTGGCAGAATCACACAGAATGTGGTACTCTTCCTTGGCCGCACATGCTACCTTGCAAAGGCCATGGAACCGCCAGCACGTGCTGTAGAATTTCTTGATGTAGGAATTCGGTCCACTTCTCACTGCGGTGGAAACAGGGGAGGGCGGCTGCTGCAGGGGCTGGGTTGGGAGGGCGGCTGCTGCAGGGGCTGGGCCCGGGCCAGCAGCCTGCAGGCGACTCCTTAGCTTTTAATGGTGAGTGGGGCAGGATCAGAACACCCTGTCACAGCAAGGCCGGGATGTCCCCTTCTCAGGGGCTCTTAGCTGTTGTCCAGAGGCCCCAGTGTCAGCCATTCCATGGTAGCCACTTACCTGCAAGTAACAGGGCCCACGGGTTCAGCTGGAGACTCTGCTAGGGACAGACCCTCTGACCTGGGAGGCCCTCACCTCATCCTCACCTCTGCCTGAGGGGCACCCATGACGCCCCGGGACCCTGCATATGAAGGGTTGGGGCAGCAGGCAAAGCTGCAAACAGCACCCGAGACCCCACAGCAGTGAGACCCTCTTGGCGTCCCCAGGTTGCTGGTTTTTCCAGAGAGCGCACACTCTGCCCCGGGGCTCTAGGACCCTCTGAACAGCCCCCTCTGTCGTTATCCTGGCAGCAGCCAGCTTGCCTCGGTGCCAGACGAGTGAGGAAGAATCCAGGTAACTCGCTGGCCATGCGGCTTCTGGGCACCCTGCAGGTGCTTCCCTTCGGCCCCAGAGCCTCTGGCTCTGGAGACTGGTGCTTCCCTCAGGCTAATCCTGGGGCGACGGCCTCACGCTCCACAGACCCCCACGGGGAGTTTCACCCCCTCGCCTGTCTGAAGAGAGCCCTCCTGGTCTGTGTCCTCCTCACTGTCCCGTTTCCAGAACTGCCCACGGGGCCCCTCTGCCCACACCCCTCCCTGCGCCCCCTGCCCTCGTCCCGGTCCAGCTGGCCTCTCCCTCCTGGACAACCCGCACTCTCTTTCCCACCACGGCACTCGGGGAGGGCCTCCGCCTTACCCGGTGGGACGCAGGAGAGCGCCACAAGCAGCGCCAGGGCCGGGAGCGTGCTCCTCATGGCCGCGACCAGGAAGCAGCGGCGGAGCGGTGGGGGCGGCCTCCCTAAGTAGCCCAGGGCCGCTGCGGGGGGCAGCGCGCCAGGGACAAGGCCTCTGCTTGCTCCACTGAGCACACCAATGCACGCAAGGTCTGGCTTTGGACACTCGCCTCTCACTGCAGTGCACCTGCCGAGCCCACCTGCGCACACCTGTGGGGACTCTGTCAGCAGGTCCGTGATGCTGGGGGCATCCTCTGGCCTCCCGTACGTCCTGTCTGCACCTGCCCTTGGGGTGCGCGGTGACCTGGAGGGCTGCGTGCGGAGCTGCCGAGTGTTCCAGTGGTACCCGCCCCCCGTCTCTCTCTCTCTCACACACACACAACACACACACGTGCACACGTGCGCAGCCTGCGTGAAGTAGCATCCTCCCATTTTAAAGACAAAAGACAGCGGCTCAGGCAGCATAAATGCCTTCCCGAGTTCACATGACGCCTGATGGCGGCCCCGTGACTCACACAGGTTCCCTCGCTCCTCTAGGGCAGGGCGGCGAGGGCCCAGGCCTGGCGTAGCTGCCGTCTGCTTCAGGAAATTAGACACCCCAAGGGCTGTGGCTCCCCAAGTCCCTGCAACAGCAACTGGGAGCTCCCGGCTCCCTGCCGAGCCGCGCTGTGCGGGTGGGCCAAGAAGCTGCCATGGGGTTTTTGCCTCCTGGGTGGAAGGTCGACGGTGCTGCGCAGCTTCAAGGTGCCTGAAGCTGGCCGACAGCTCCCGTCTGTCTGGCTTCTGCTCTGGACCCTGACCCCCACCCCGCCAGACGTGGATGCAGCAGCATGAAGCCAGTCTTCGGCTTTCCTCAGTGCTCCCCACCTCAGTGAGACCCCCAGGCCCTTTTGCTCATGGACCCTTCTCAGTGTCCACGTATGAAATAGCCCAGTTCTGGGCTCTGGTGCTCACGGCTCCCAATTCCTGGGTTGCTCCCTCCGCTCGGCCATGCAGTCACGGTGACGGCCACCAGCCTCGCCCATGCTTCCGGGGGCACCGTCCTGGCCTCCTTGGGGCTGGCTGCCTGGGCGATTCACAGCTGGAGGCGCATTGCCACAGCTCTGGAGGGCAGAGGTCCAGATGCTGGTGTCTGTGCTGGGCCCTGGGCTGGCGAGGGAGGACCCGGGCCGTCCCCCTCCCAGCTGCCAGCAGCCTGGGCACTCCTTATTTCCCTCGTGGGCACTCCTGCCTGGGCAAGGCTTGAATGGAAGGTGTGTGGCCCAGAGGCTGGAGACTGGAGGCTTCCGCCCTCCTGCGGTGGAGCCCCGCCCCTGCGTGCGCCCTGCACAGAGCTGCCCGCTGGGCTGTCCAAGAGGCCGCCAGACCCGGCTGCTGGCTGCGCACTGGAGCGCCCCAGCACATGCACTCAACACCCGGTAAAATTCCCTCACGGCGCCGCGTGGCCCGGCTGTGCCTGCACCGTGCACAAAAACACATGTCCACCCTGTGCTCCCCACGCCCCGCCTGCCCCTGCCACCTCTGGGGCCAGGCCTCCTGCAGGCCTCGGAACTTCTCCTCAGCCCCTCGTCTCCAGGAACCTTCCTGCTTCCCCAAAGCGCAGGCCTTCATCTCCCGCGGCAGCCTGTGCGGCCGTCGGCCCTCGGCTGCTGCTCTCCCTCCACGCTGGCCTTGCGGCCCGCTGACCTGTGGCTGTGAGGCAGCGCCTCCTGCTCCCGGGAGCTCTGCTCCTGGGCCCGTGGCTGCTGCACACCGTCTCCTCTGCGCCCACCATGAGCCCAGCCCGTGTGTTTTCTCACGTTGTGATGGCGCCTCCTGTCCCGCAGGCTGGAACTGAGGGGCTGTGGCGGGTGGGGCTGGACCAGGCTTGCAGGCTACGTCCCACACCCCTTCCTCCACTGCCCCTCACAGACATCGGGGGGTCACCGCCATGGGCCCCACAGAGCTGAGACCCAAGGCGGAGCTGAGACCCCAACGAAGCCAAGGAGGGACAAACACCGGGCCAGACAGCACCCCCTTGGCCGGCCGCAAGGGCGTCCTGCTCTGGCAGCCAGCAGGAGGCCTTTCTCCTCCACGTGGGGCCAGGGCACCGTTCCAAGCCAGTGGCCCCTCACAGAACGTCCTAAGACGCCAACCCAGATAACAGGGGGAACCCAGTTGCCCCGACCCGGGGCAACTGCTGACCCTCCCGGCCCCAGGCCCGCAGGCGGGTCTCTTGATCACTGAGCCCAGCCCCATTGTCTGGCCGAACGCCCCCGCTGTGCAGAGCGCGCCTCGCCATGGCCCGCTGGGCTCCAGAGCCGGGGGCGCTCAGAGCCCGAGAGGACTGCTCTAACCCCGGCCCTCAGTAGCCAGAGGGACATGGAGAGTGGGCGGAAGGCTCTGGACCGTGCCTCAGAAAGACCAGGAGCAGAGCGAGGTTGTGTGGCCGTCAAGGGGAGTGCTGTCCTCAGGCCTTTCACCCCTCTGGGCGGAGGGCCCCCCTTAAGCCGTGCACTCTCCCCTCTCCTCCTGGGGGGCTCCGTCAGGCCTAGAGGACAGCCTGAGGAAAGGGTGTCCCCACCTCTTCCCAGGGAGCGCTGGCCTCTGGGGTCTGTCTCCACACAGGCTGCCCCCATGGCTGGACTCCGCCTTCCTGTGCATCCGCGCACTTCCAGCTGAGGGCGCGGGGCCTGGGATGTCCTCCCCGGGGCAGCGCCTGTGGCCCCGGCGCTGTGGTGAGCTCTGGGCTCCCGGCTGAACCCCGGTTCAGCCCCCCTCGGGAGTGGGGACTGACCATCAGGGGCCATGTGGGACCAGGCAGGGCCAGGCAGGCTTAGGGGACCTCGCTGCTGGGGCCATGCAGGGCTGGGGGACGCCATTGCTCCCCCACCAACCCTCTTGGTCCCCTTTCTCCAAACCCAGAAAGGATTTGAAGGTCACTGCCGCCCCAGGAAGCTGACTGGACACATAGCTCACAGGTCTCTGGCCGTGGGGCTGCCCCCCACTCCCGGTTCCCTAGGACCCGAGGTGACAGTGAAGGGGCGGAGGCAGGAGTTCGTGTGTCACTGTGTCACCTGAGCCTGGGGTCAGGTCCCGGGACTGCCCTCCTCTAGGAACTGGACTCGCATCCACCTTGCTTTTGGGTCAAGTGCTCGCTCGCTTTAACAGGAATGTCCTGAGCGCTGCACAGGCGGAGAGGAAGGGGCGCCTTAGGCCACACCCCGCCCTGGCCCGTGAGTGAGCACCCTGAATGTATGGAGGAGGACAGAGCTCCCAAGCAAGAACCGGGAGAGCTGGCCACCTGCTGCAGACACAGCCCCTGGCCCGCCAGGCGGGGGATGGCCAGAGGCGCTGCCCCCTCCCCCCACAGCAGGTTACACGAAGCGCATGGTTGAGGCCAGGATTGAACCCGCCCGCCCTCGACCTCCACACTCATGCGGGGCTGCGGCGGGGCCAGGGGTCCCAGAGGAAGCCAGAGGAAGCTCCGTGGGGAGCCCAAGCACGTGCCTGGTCTACACGGCAAGAGTGTAGCTCACACCCACGGGCACATGAAAATGTTCACACCCTTATTATCAGCGAAATGCCATCAAGAACCAACTGGACCCCCACCTGGGGAGGACGGCCCTGTGGGGAGGAGCAGGCGCACGGCGGTGAGGGTGTGCGCGGGCGGCCTCGGCTGCTGTCCGTGTGGATGTAAATGCGGCAGCGCCGGGGAAATGCATGGAGGCACCTAAAACTGCAGATGGAACCGCGCTGTGGCCGGACAGCGCCGGCCGGGGCTGTCCCGTGTTCGAGCCCCGTGTGCTCAGCCGGGGGCGGTCCAGTTGCCACCGCCACGACGGGTCAGGGCCGGGGCATGCACTCTCCAGCCGTGGGGCAAGACGGGACAGCGCCTTTTGGGACAAAATGAAGGAACCTGAGGTGCTTGTGTCGGGTGAAATAAACAGAACGTGAAAGACAGTTTCCGGCACCGCCTCACTCGGTGGCGACGATAAATAACCAAGGAAAAGAAAAGGTGAGAGCACGACAAAAAGAACTTTTCAACTCTGGGGGGTGTGAGTGGGGAGGAGGGAGGAGAGGAGGGGGGCTGGAGCCCAGGTGGGGGCGGGCGAGGCTGTGCACCTTCCAAGGGGTGACCTTGTGCTCCCCAAATTATATAGTTTTGCAAACAAACAGCAAACCAATACAATTTGACTTCAAAAAGAAGTTTAATTAAAAAACCCCTCCAGGCTCACTTCGAGATGAGGCTCAGCGGTGTAGACGCTGGGTCTGAGCCACGCTCCGCTGCCTTGGCCCGCGCCCTGCGCCGGGGGCACTGGGTACGAGCTCGCCTCCAGGGCCAAGGATAAAGCCCAGTGGCATCTTCTCCACTCCCGGCCGGCCACCAGCTCCCAGGGGACACGGCCTTCCCCAGAGCCTGATGCAGGTAGCTGCAGGGAAGCTCCGGGCAGCCAGCCTTGACCGCAGGCCTGAAGTGGCTCTTCCTGGGCCAGGACAGAGCCCCAACCACCCCTCCAAAGTCACAGCCCTTGACACCCCCCAACATGTCACATTTTGTACCAACATTTGGAAAATGAAGACCCTGTCCTTCGGGGGTCACAGACTCCCTGCAGCAGCTGCTCTGGCCAGGTGGGTCAGGCCACCCCAGGAGAGCAGGTGAGCTCCTCTCCACCAGGCCCAGGCACCTGCCTGGCTCAGCCCCTGTGCTGCTTGAAACGCTGCCAGCTCAGGCCCACACCTTCCCAGCCCAGGTTACAGCCACGCGCCGATCCCAGTGGACAGAAGCGAGGAGAAAGGAAGCAGCCCTTGCGGTCTCTGTCCTGTCAGTGCACACTCGAGTCAGAGGGAGGGTGTCTGGGCACGGACATGAGGGCGCCCAGCCTCTGCTCGCCGTGACTGAGTCCCCTCACCTCCCGTAATTTCTAGAAGAGGAAGCAGCAGGGAGTGGCTCGGAGGCCATTTCCCTCTAGCCATGAAGGTGCCCTTCCAGGTAGAAAAGGGCCAGTGCCCAGCCCCACCCAGCCTGGCCCAGCCCTATAAAGGAACCTCCTGGCGGCCACCCCAGGAAGTGGCAGCTCTGTGCCAGCCCCGCGCCCGCCTCGCCGATGACGCTCTGTCTCTCGGGGCTACTCTTCCTTCTGGCCGTCTGCCTGCCTTCAGGTGAGATGGGTCCAGGTGTCATCTGGAAAGCAGGGGCCTCTGGAGGACTGAGGCCTCTGGGGAGGGGCCGGCCTGGAGGGCCCACGGCCCAGGCAGACAGCAGACTCGGGATGGGCTGTGGCTACAGGTCTGCAGCGCTCCCTGCTCCGCCCCACCAAACCTTGGGAGGGGGCAACAGCGCGACACCCCTGCTCGGCCCTCCTGCCCCCCGCACCTGCCCAGGCGGCCCGTGCTGAGGCCAGGTGCGGCTGAGCGCCGCGGCGGGTGAGCCAGGGAAGAAGCGTCCCCCACCCACCGGGAGGACTGTCTGGGGCCCCGGCCTCGCGGAGGCTGACCTGCGGCTGTGTCCCGTGTCCCTCCCCTCCCCAGGCCAGGCCATGCTGGGGAACAGCGGCGTGGAATTCAACACGTGCACCAAGCTGGAGGGCAGGTGCTTCTTCGGCTGCCCGCCCGGCTGGCAGTGGGTCTCACACTGCCACTCCCTGATGTCTTGCTGCAAAGAACTGAAGAAAAACAAGCCCGCCCACTACTATGATGTGGAGAATTAAAAGCACAAACCTCCAAGCTGGGCGTGAGGCTTAATCCGCCTTTGGTGGCAAGTGGGGGCCCGAGTCCGGCCAACTCCCTGGCGAACGGCCAGAAGAATCAGCAAAGGGCGGCCGGTGCACCCCCTGCCGTTGCCTGCGCCCCGGTCTCCAGCGCTAACCCAGCCTCCAGCTCAGGCTTCCGTTGCCCGACCCGCGGCCACGGCCAGGGAGGGCGTGTGCCCGCCCTTGGCTGCCAGGGATGGCCCCATGGCGCGCGGCCGCAGGCTCTAAGTCACTTCATCCTCACACGCGGGCAAAGGGCCCTCCACCCACAGGGTCCCCTCCAGCCTTTCTCGGTGGCAACCCCCGGGATCCCAGCCACCCTAAATCCTACCACCATCCATTCGCTGTGCCCATGGGGCCTCAGAGGCGGCCCCCATCGCCCCACCCCAGCGTGGGGTCAGGGAGGCCCTGCGGGGGCCCGGCTCCCTCTCCTCCCCTGGGCGGGCGTTTGGCTCGTTGCCACCCCGGGGTTGTTCCAGCAGCGCGAGCGTCACAGGGATGCCCGCGCAGAGGGACGCGTCCAGGCAGGTGCAGCCCCCGTGGGCAGCAGGGGGGCGCCTGGATCGCCGCATCCCGCAGACCTTGTCCTTGGAGGCTCTTGTGCACCCACATTAATCCCCGTTTCTCTGAGAAGCAAACCGCACCCCCTCCGGCCGCACCTGCTCTGTGCCCCGGGCCTCCCGGGAAGCGTCTGTGCACACCCTTCCCCGCCCGCGGGGCGCTGCTCCCCGCACCCCGGCCCCCAGGACTGCTCGCCGCCGCGGGCAGGGGGGACACGGCGGAGCGAAGGCCGGGCTCCGCAGCGGGGGGCAGCTGGGTGCCCCACCTCGCACATCGCGGGGCGCCGGCCTGGGCCCTTGTTGCTGCTCCTGACGATCCGGTCAGTGCCCGGCCCGACCCCACAGCCCCCGCCACTCCCCGGGGCCCCGAATCCGCCGCCCTCGCTCCCCGGAACACGAGGGGGCACAGCGGGGGGCGGACGACAGCGACCCCCCCCCCCGCAGAGCCCGGCCTGGGGGGAGCTGGGGCTGGGCCAGCAGCCCGCGGGGGGGGGCCGGGCCTCGCGCGAGGCTGCGCCCCTGGTCAGTCGCGCACGTGTGGCCGGCAGAGCCGCCGCGCAGACAGCACCGCTGGACGGAGGACTGGACGCGTTCTCAGGGCGTCTGTCCGTCCGCAGGGCCGCCCGCCGCCCCCCAGCCCGCCGCCCCCCCACGCCAGGCCGCGCCCTCCCGCCCCTGCCCGCCCGCCGAGCCCTGGTCCGGCCGCCTCCGCGGGCAGCAGGCGGGGAGGCAGCCCCTGGACGCGGGGCGTGCGCCCGCCCGGCAGCCAAGCAAGGGCCTGAGGAGGGGGCGGCGGGGCCGAGGTGGGGGGCGGCAGGGCCCCAGGTGCGGGGGAGGGCGCGGGGCGGGGGAGGGCGGGGGAAGACGGGGGGGGGGGGGAAGCGGGGGGGGGGGTGCCGCGGGGGGGTCCGCGGGGAAGGGGCGCCCGCAGCTGGCATCGGGCCGGGCGGGCCCCGGGACCGCAGCAGACGCCGGCCGGCGAGGACGCGGGGGTCCTTGGGAGCTCCCGGAGCCTCGCGCGGCGCCGGGGTCCGGCCCCCCAACCGCCCCCCACCCCAGGCAGGTCGGGGCCGCGGGCGCCGAGGAGCTGGCGGTTCCCGCTGCGGCCGCCAGGGGGCGCCGCCCGCCCGCTCCGCCCCGGCCCGCCCGGCCCAGGGCTCCGAGGGTCAGTGGGGGAGGGAAGGGTCAGCGGGGAGGGGAGGGGCGGGGAGGGGAGGGGCGGGGGTGCGGGGCGAGGAGGAGCCCCTCTATGGGGCTGGCGGGGCTGGCGGGGGCACGTTCACCCGAGTTTTCCAAAGAAAGTCAGTCCTGGCCGGTGAGGAAGCAGGTGAGCGGGTCGGGCCGCCCGGTTCCGGTGCCGGGGTGTCTTTTGAAACCGCGTGAAAATGCAGCCGGGAGGAGAGACCGGCCGGGCCACAGCCCCGGGCGGCAGCCCCGCCGGCCGCAGACGCTGCTCGCGGGGCGCTGCAGGTGCGCGACGGCGCAGGTGTCCGTGTCCGGGGCTGCAGCCGTGCCAGGTGTGCGGCATCACGGCACGCTAGCGGGTCAGGGACAGCGGCAGGCTCCTCCCCAGGGCTCCCGGTCTCCCCGCGCCCCCCACTCTGGGCTCTCGGTACCGCTCAGGGGGTCGGTGCGGGCCCAGCTTCCCCTGCTCAGTGGCCCCGCCGCGCCCCGCGGTCCTGCCCGGCTCCCCCGCGCCGGCTCCCCGGCCCTCCTGCTCCGCCCCAGCACGAGCTGGTCTCCGGCTTCCCGCCGCCGCGGGGGCACGAAACCCAGCTCCCCCCTGCTCCCCGCTGCTCCCCGCCAGGCCCAGCTCCGCGGCCTCTGTGCTGCCGCCTGAATCCTGGGGCCGCGCCCCGACCGTGCGCTCCCGTCACCCGGGTCTCCCCCGCCGCACCTGCTGCTGCTTCACCAGGGGCGAGAGGGGGTGACGTGGCCCCCTGGAGGCTCCCCTCGGGGTGCACACGGTTCCTCCAGACTGCGGCGACGGGGTTTCACCCCGAATTTAAACAGAGAGACCGTGGACACGATGAGAAGCCACGCTGCCCCCCACGTCGCCAAGCGCCCGTCCCCATTGCGGCCCGGGGTGTCTTCAGTGGGAGACGCAGCCACAGCCGAGGGAATCCCCAGGCTCCCCTTCTGCGCACCCCTCCGTGTCCAGCTGAAGGGGGCTCTCCAGGACAGGGACAGGGCACGAGAGAGGGAGACTTGTGGACAGGGTGGCGATGGCCGTGTCCGAACCCAGGGCCGGCCCCGGGCGCCCGCCCTCCTGGCCCTGAGCTCAGACTTCTGCCTCCAGACGGGGGGATAAGCCAGGGCCCCGCCTGTGCCCACGAGCAAGCAAGGCGGTGACAGTGGCGGGACGGTGGCAAGCGTGGCACCTTGATGCTGCCGGGTGTGGGCTGCGGCCCTGCCGGGGCCTCCTCTCAGGAGCAAGGCCTGGCAGGGCCCTGCCTCGATGGCTCCATTCCAGACAGCTGTGAAGACCTGAGGTCCCAGCCGTGCCATGTCAGCGACACCCTCCTTCCTCTCTCCTCTGGGCAGCTAACAACTCCCAGGCGCTGCTCCCGCTTGCCCGCGCCCCCCCACCCAGGACGCGCCCCGGGCACTCCCAGATAAGACTCGCCTCCAGCCCGTGGCGCCAGCCAGGGGGCGGCAGACAGAGCACAGGCCGGGCCCCTGCGCCAGCTCCCCGGCCCTTCCCTTCCCTGGCACCAAAACAGATGACTTCATCCACACCCGCTGCCGGCCCCACCGCCTCCCCTGACCGAGGGGGGCACCTCGAGGTTGCCTCCTGAGCGCTGGAGACTCAGCTCAGGCTAGGCTCTGGGGAGTGTCAGACCAGCTGTCACCTCACGGCGCTGTCCCCCACACCTGGCCACATGCCCAGCCTGACCCCCGCCCTCTCCGCGCAGCAGGGGGACAGGGCGGGCACTACCCAGCCAGAATATCGTCGAGAGCACCCGCCGTCCCTCCCGGCCCGGGTTCTGTTCCTGCTCCCAGTGCTGTCGGGGGCCCCGTGGATCGCCTCAGTCCCCCCGGGCACATTATTGACTCGGCTCAGGAACCAAAGTCCCGGGCACTGTCAGGGTTCAGTGTCCACTGTCCTGCTCTGGGGTGGCCTGCGGCAGGGGAGGGCGCTGACGGGTCGTGTTGCTGCTCCGACGGCCTCGCTGTCCTTTCCTGTGGGCCCAACGCAGGGCGGCCCCGTGCCGGGCCGCTCAGGGCCCAGTGAATGCCGGACTCAGCCAGCGCCGGGCCCGAGTCAGGCCCTGACCGCCACCTCCCAGAGCACCCGGCAAAGGTCAGTCGATGAAAGAATCAGGACGTCACACCCAGCTCAGAGTAAACGCAGTGCGGTGCTGCTGCTGCCTGGGGCTCCCTGGGGTTTGTGCGTCTGCTCCCCCCGCTCCCGCAGCCCCTGCCCGCTGGGGGTACAGTGGGCCTCTCTGACCCTCTCGTGCTGGGACTGGGGCCCCCGTGGCCCGTGGCCCTGGCCTCCATCCCTTCCTCTGGCCGGGGCGCCCTGACCCCGGCCTGGCGCATCATCCACCTGGTCTCAGCCGCTGCTGGACAGAGGCCGGGCTTTGTTACGGCACATTTGTCAAACAGCAAGGGAGAAAGACGGGGGGCCCCTTCCCCACCCCAAAGGGAGGGCCCGGGGTGAAGGGGGTGTGCTGCCCAGCAGCTCCCATGTAAACATTGCCCCGACCACCGCCCTTTGCACCCCTTCCTCTGCCTTTCTGGGAGCACCGGGAAGGGGGTGAGGACCTGAGCCTCCTGCGGGAAGCAGTGCTGTCCGGGGGAGACCCCGCACCTCATCCTCCCCGGGGAGTGTGGAGGGGCGCCATCCCGGAGCAGGGCATCCCTGACACGGTCCTCATCCTTGAGCACCCCGACTTCACATTCCTGCCCCCAAAGGCCCCCTTGAATGTTCCTCCTGCACGTGCAGTCCTGTCACGCGTGCTCAGTGGAGGCTGAGGAGCTGGTTCCCCGACTTCCCAGGCCTTGCCCTGAGGGCGCGCACGGCCAGGCCGGGTGCTGCAGAGCCGGCTGCGGGCTTGGGCGGGCATGTCCGCGGAGGTGGCAGGGGTGTGGTGGGCGTGGGGTGTGGTGGGAGTGGGGTGTGGTGGGCGCCGGGCTGGGGGGGCCGGTTGTGGCGGGTTCGGGGTTCGGTGGGCACGGGGTGCGGTGGCGCAGGGTGTGGTGGGAGCGGGGTTCGGAGGGCTCGGCGTGTGGTGGGCGCAGGGGCGCAGGGGGCACGGCGCGTGGTGGCCTGTGGACCCGGGCGGGCATGGAGGTGGCGCGGGGACGCGGAGCTGGGGGGCTGGGTGTGGCGGACGCCGCTGGGCCGGCTTCTCTGGGCCGGTGGTGTTGCTGCGGGCGGTCCCCCGCACT